ATGTCAATTAAATTGCTATATTATAAACACATAGATAGGAAATTTAGGAAAAAACATAAAGTTTAACTATACTAGGAAGGGGTTGGTCATGCCTGGACTTTTCTGTTGAGGGGTTAGCAATATCTTTGTCCACCAGAGGGCATCCACACAATCTCTTCTTGCATTAACATTCTTAAGAATTCAGATTTCATAACTGCAAGTGAGAATTCAGATGAAGAAAGACGAAGTCACCAAGCCAAAGAAGGTGTGTCCCCTTTTGTGTAAGTTAGTTTTATGGTACATTTCCTACTTAGTATGAAGCAGCTAGATGAACACTCAAGTCACAATCAGAAAGCTAATGAGGAAATCCCCTCAGGGTCTCTGCATGCATGGCTTATTCTCACCCTTTTCCTTACAAACCCAACACTACATTCCTCTTGAATAATTTAGTTTTTAAACATTGAGAAATTGAAGGTTGTTCTGTGAACTCCAATAGTCTAATGTAAATGTTCACAGGTTCACATGACTTATAATTATCATTTGTCTGACATGATTATAAGAAATTGTTACCCACATGCTTGGGAAGTTATGCCAAGTTGGTTTTATTTCTCTTATAATATGTTAGAAACCTAAAAATGTTTTCAAGCTAAATATGTCCAGCTGTTTTGTGTAAGGGCAACAGCACAAAGGAGTTTTCAGTTGATTGATTCTGGGATCCAAATAATATAAAATTTCATAAAACAAAACAAATTAGAATTTTTTTCAGGATCAGAAAATTTTAATAATGATTTTGCCTTAGGTGTTAGATACCGTTCACTGGAAAATTTTCAAAAGATGGCCTGAAAAGGAGTATTCTCTCAGACCCCCCCCCACCAGGAACATCAAATAAAATGTCACTTGACCATGTATTGGCTTTTGTCTTGCCTTTGTAATGATTGAACACCCATTCTCACACATGGGATCCACCATTAATGCAGGCACCTGTAAAAAGAGTTGACAATTGAATGGCTACTATATTTATATAAGTGTATGCATATGTGAGAGGATGTGTGTGGATTTGTGTATATCTATTTGTATGTGAATATTTGTGAATATATGTATGTGCCTATATAAATCCTTGTCATCTTTGTCTACATATTTATTCTAGAATTCAAGAAAGTATTTTGAAAGTAAGAGAAACACTTTTTAACATTTCACATGTGAGCTAGTTGAATACAAACATATCATAAGATTAAAAAATGGTTTAGAAGTCTTCACATAAGGATGTACAAAACATCACTTTACAACAAACATTTTCCATGTTTGTTTTTTTATAAAGCTTCTAATATATAGGTTATATTGTTTTCTCACAGAAAAGAGAAAAATGTAAGTTACAGGGCCTGGTATGGTGGTGTGTTCTACTATTTTAGGACTTAAGGCTCAGACAAGAGAACCAAGACTTTGAATTCTGCAATGGCTGTATAGCCAACAGTTCCATAAAAGAAAATATTAAAGAAAGGAAATGTAGAAAAGAAAGTATTAAAGAAAGATTTACAGCCTGTTAATGAAGATTCCCTGTACATACATATAGATAATTTTCAAACTGAGAACTTGGAAAATACTCAAGGCAAGACTCCTGGAATGTCATTTGAGAGTGTGGCCAGGCTTCATGGCAATAAAGCTGTGAAGGGCACTTTACAATATTATGACTATGGCTTGAGAATGACTAGAGCTACTGACAGGTGCATAGATATTTTTTTGATGAAAGTAGGCCCCAAAATCAAATCAGTAGGGAGATACACATATTGTTTGCCTCTGCACCTACAAAATTGGACAATCAAGTTTTCTTTTTCTGAGTTTTTTAACTGGACAAATGTGAAACACATTAAAAAATCCAATTTAAGATATATTCTTTATTATGGCAAAATGCAACTTGCTCACAAGATGCACATTTTGCATAATGCTGAGATTAGAAAGAGGTGTTACACATATTCCTCCTGAGGGTGAACATGGAGTTTCCCGATCATACAGCATCATTGCCAATGCTATGGCACTGCTTTGGGCTCCCTTTTTTCCTTATCTTTTCAAGGGTTTGCTTATCTGAAAAGAACCATCAAAGGAACAGTTACAGGGACCAGGTTGACATCATCAGGAGAAGCTGGCTCACTGAGACCACAATGAGCCTGTGTGAGTGACAATCCTGTCTCCTTGTGTTCTGTGATCATGAGATGGCTTCCTACAAAATGTGAGGGCCTCTACTAAGTCCTGCAGATCCACTGAAGTCTGCAAGATGCAGACCTTTCTCCATGGGCCATATGCTATTTATGTGGCCGAAACAATTTGAATTATAAATTAGGAAAGAGAAAGATCATTACCCTGGGAATCAGCCCAAGCATCTCTGTAAGGCCAATAGGCTTGATCAGAGCTGTGAAGCATGGTCCCCAGAAAAATATTTCCTTAAAGAAATAGGGAAACATCCAAGATTACCCCACAGAAAATTGAATTTACTGTATTTGGCATAGAATTTTTAAACTTTCAAAACTATCCACACTAGGATATATTTGTATACCTGTCTTATTGGAAGACAAAACTTCTTCTCATATGTCAGACGGAGGGATTCACTAGGTAGTTCAAGCTGGCCTCAAACTTCTTTTGACTGTAGAAACTATGGGTTTGACCAACCATGCCTGGCTCCAAAGCACTTGTCTTAAATTTCTTTCCCAAAGTTCCCCCACTAGGAAATAGTAGCTTGCTTCCAGCTAATCATCTATGTTCCAAATGGAGGATGTCAAGAGTATAGCTAGCTGTGATGTATGTTGCTAGTCTATGGAAGCAACTTTCTTTCCATTTTATATCAAAAAGTTCTGAAAACACTGAACAGATGGCAGGGGATTAAGTGCTTGAAATATTTAAACAGAAAAATCATCTGATCGTACCTGCATCTGAAGGTTTTTTTTTTTCTTTTCTTAAAGGCATGTCTATCTGTGGTGGCCTATTTATTTCATGACTGATCTCTCTTCTTGGGGTCACTTGTCAGGTCACCCACCCCACAGTTATCATAAATGACAAGAAAATAAAGACAGCAAGTCTGATTTTGAACCTGTACTCTTATTCACCAGTGAATTCAAACATGAAACCTACCCTGATTTCACTAATATTTAGTTAAAAACTCCCCAGTGATTACTCGGCAAAGAGAAGCAGGGCATAGGCTGTCCTACTACAGACTGATGGCATATAGAGAACAGCTTAGCCGGGATTCCTGAAGATCCTCATAGAAAACCCAAGCCATGTTACAGCAAAATATTCAAGAGAAGCTACACAAATAACCAAAGTGATAAAGGGAGTGGAAATGCCATTCACTGAGGAAAATGCTAGAATCTATATTTTCTAAACTGCTTTACCCTAACCCCTGTCCCCAAACCCCATTAACACAGTGTGCTGAAAAGAAAAAAAATGTGCTTTTTCCACTTCCTGGGATGATTAAAGGGGTGATTTTCACCCACAGTGTTTGTTCGCATACCCAGCACACGCACCAAGCCTTTCAATCAACATGTCCTTTTTTCTTAACGCTACTGTTTTACTTAAGAGATAATGTCAAAGGAATTGAGCATTGTGACTGGATAATGGTCTCCTGCTGCAAGATAAATGCTTCAGCATTTATTGAAAATAAATGTTGGAGAAAAGCCAAGACATTTATTTTAAAGTACAAAACTATTTTCTAGTCATAGTGTTCAGAGCCAGAGATGTGGCAACTACCTTACCAAATGACTTTTTAAGGAAACGAAGATCATCCAAAAAGAGGAGCAGAATACTGACATCCTCTCTGGGTAATGGTAGCTTCAGTTCTATGGATTAAAAAAAAAATTTAAATGTGCCATTGATTGGCAATATTGAGTAAATGCCTGAACAAGTTAGTCATCTTTCTAGCTTCATTATTGAGACATGCTTTGTGCATTCATGAACAAAGTGTCTTTTATTATGCATACTGAAACCCAAACATCGACTTAGGTAAAGTGACCTTTGATATTCTCAGAGCATGTCAAGGACAGCACACGCCAGGGACTTGGGGAGATCTTGAGAGAAACAGTAACACTCAAGGAATGAAGGTTTCATTTGCTCTGGACTTGCTAATTGCCTTCAAGTTTGAGATGAGTAAAAGTGAATCTCAGCAACTGCTACTGACACCATTGAAATTCTGAATAACCCCAGAGAGTCATGAATGGTTAGTGACAAATGTAGAAGTTCCTTCAGTTTACCCATTTTTCTGCATACATCAATGGACATCAGGTGTATTTTTCTAGGGATAGAAAATGGCTCCCTGAATATTACCTTTGATTTTTCTTTCAGTGCTATTTTGTGTAGCTTTAAAATTCATCTTCTCATTTTTGAAACAGGCCTCAATAATTAATCAGTACTTATAATGACACCATAGACTTACATAATGGTATTGATCTTTGTAATGACTATGGTAATAGCTATATAAAGTTTTTACATATTCCTCTCAATTAACATTTGGTTGCTTTCAAAAGAATTGTTTCTCAAGTTTGAACTTGGAGTGAGACATATGAATCTGGACATTCCATATTGCTAACTTACTGTTTTGTGTTAACTGGACAGTATTCTTTCTTGAATAACTGAAAAAGTCTTTTATTAGAAATCCTACCCTTTCCAGGCTAGGCATGTAGCTCACTGGTTGGCTGATGGACTTTTTGTAAAAGGCCATAGGTTAATCTCCAGAATCGCAAAAACAAATCAATGTAAAAAGAACATTTCCTGAACTCCCATAGACACCAAAAGTGATGATAGTGGAGGAAAAACATGCTGTGATTAAGATAACACTGGTAAATTGTCTTCTGGCCATATTCTTGCAGCTAGAGTAAAAAGAACAAAGCTTTGGTCTGGAAGCCCTCAAAAGGTTGTTCAGTCACCCACCCAATATACCAGTTGTAAAGATACCTGATGCTGAAATGCAGAGAAAACAAATTCAAACAGATTGTACACTAAGAAGAAAAGACAAAAGGTCTCCAGGATGCAAGTTTGACTATTTTCATTGACATGATCTTTATGTTTCAATGGAAGCTTCAGGGCAAGCACTAAACTCATACATAATTGAGCATTCTGGGCATGGTCCAGTATATTTGACTATAGTAAGTCTCAGTTCTGGTTCTATGAGGTGACTCGCAGAAGGCCTCAATGTTTGAAAAGAGCAATCTACTTCCATAAGATGGTCTCCTCTGGTTCGGAGTAAAGCCTCACCATAATTGATAACTGTTCTTCCTGGTATCCTAAGTGACTGCAAGTTCATGCAAAAACAAACAAACAAACAAACAAAAAAACGGAGACTTTTAAGTGTCTTTTGTGTGATCTGTAAAATCACTGTTTAAAAGCGACAATAAGATGCCTCCATTATTAATATAATTGCACCTTTGAGTTTGAAGGGAAATAAAATAGTTTAGTTACAGTTGGTTTCTAAACAGATGCTCCTCTGGCAATCAACATACCTCTATGGAGAGGTGAACCAGTGGTCTAATGTGAAGGAGAAACACACAAAGTGCAGACAGAGATGAAAGTATCAGCCTGCATTTAACAGCTTTGTGAACCCAAGTGAGCCAAGTGATGTTTTAGCAAAGGTACTTTCTAAGTTAGATTTGGAGGAGTCAAAAGATTCTGTGACCATACACAAGGAACTTCCAGAATGTGGCCCTAATCTACTTTCTCCAGTTTCAGAATCAATTTATTTGCTTATTGTACTTTAATCTGGAATTTCACTTCAGTAAAGAGTTTTGCTGTGATGAAAATAGGACCAGATCTGAGGAAAGAAGCTGTATATTCCAGAAGCAATTTCCAGAGACCCCGCCAAGAAGACTCTGTGATCTGTTACATATTCAGAATTTATATTTCCTGGTTAATGCAATTTGTCTACTGCTCATCTATGTTTGGTCATACTATTGTCTGCTTCATGGAAGGGAAGACTGTTGCAAAGTCTTCCAATGCCCCTGAGATTACACAGAAGTGTCCATATCAGGCTTTGTATATCAACCACATGTTTCAAAAATTTATAATGATCTAACCTAAGGATGAATTTAGCACTATGGGCTGATTGGGGGCACTTAAAATTAAGAGTCCCATAATTATGCTCACTCTTCCAGGGAGGCAAGTTTAAGAAAATCTATAAAATGGCAGCATTAGGAAAATCTCAAAAAGAATTTTGTGGGTAAGTAAACTTTAAGTCAGAATAACCAGCCAAGGGCCATTCCTGATGTGTGCCTCCATCTGGATGTGAGCCTCTGTGCCATGCTTCATGCCCATGCCTGTTCTAGTCAGCTTAAGTCAGATCCATTACAGCAAGCTCTGACCTGTGCAAAAGATAGAACAAATGCATTATATAACAAGTTAAAAACCAAATTACTAAATTAAACACTTGAACTTTTAAGAAAGAGTACATCCCTATAAGCAAAATATCATTAACAAGGAAATTATGTTTTTGATGGACCTATGGACACAGCACTTTGACCTCCACTTAATTCTAAGTTCTACTGCAAGAGTCAAAATGTGACAAGGTAGTTTACACATTAAACCACTCTTCTGTCTGGAAAATCAATAGTTACTTGTAGTTCTTAGTCAGCTTTGGCTGAACTCTAGGGCAGCATCTGTCTTCATAAACGATTAACCATCTACTTGTCAAGTCCTCTTACTAGTAACAACATATGTTTGTTTATGATAGCTTTGGATTTCTTCTTTGTTCAGCCATTTATTACAAAGACATTTCCCATGAAAAAAATTAATGTAGCATATTCTGTAGTTTCCAAATGCATGAATATATATATATATATATATATATATATATATATATGTCCATTCTGTTTATTAGAGATACACATTTCCATTTCCTTTCTTTATATATTGGTTTATATAATATCTTGGCTCAATCGAGAGAGGAGCATTTTCAGCATAGTTGGCATCCAGATATATTTGTAGTACATAAGAGAAAGAAATTCCAATAATAGGAAGAACAATTAGGAATTTAATTGCCAAAAAGGCAGACATTCTCCTGAGAATTTATATCACCAGGCATTTGCTTCTTGCTGTTTAGCCATAAGAGATTAATTTTATAAAATAACATCCATTTTAAAATGTGGCAGGGAGCATTATTCTCCCTTCTCATTCAAAGAAGGTTGTATGCTTCCTGCTCCTTCATTGTCACAATGGGCACGTAGTCCTCATATGGAGGGGCCTCTTCCATCCTTAACTTCAGGAATCACTGCATTACATTCATTTCTCTGATTTTATTGGCACTATATGAAGTAGTTTGGAGTTGGGCAGATGACTCTCCTACAAGCCTGTCAACCTAAGTTTAATTCCACCAGGACATGCACTCTGACTCCCACACCCACTTATACTATCAGAAAAAAGTGTGCACATATACACAAATACACACACACACACACACACACACACACACACACACACACGATAAAAACTGTAATTAAACTATTGTATCCATTCAGACTGTAATATTGTAGCTGGCACATTTGTTAACTTGTGTATACTCAAACATCATTTGTGAAGTTAGAGGTGTGCAATATGTGAAGCTACTTTAGAGAATATGCTGGAAATAACATCGCATTAAGTGATTGTGTAGCAAAGGGTTTATTTCAGCATTTAGTTTACAGTCCATCATAGAGGAACTTCATGATGGGATACAAGGCAACAACCTGGAGATGGGAGATAAAAGCTAAAGTAGAAGCCGTGAAGGAATAGTGCTTATTGGCTTGCTCCTCATAGCTTGCTCAACCTGCTGTTTTATACCACTCAGGTCACCTGCCCAGGGGTGGCACCACCCGAACTGAGCTGGGAGCTTCCACATCAATCATTAGGAAATGCTCCACAGACATGCTTATAGGCAATCTGATGCAGGCATTTTCTCCACTGACGTTCCTCATCCCAGATAACTATACCTTATTGCAAAAAGACAACCAGGACATTGGATATGTAATCTCATTGAGATTGAACACATAATACGGCATCCAATGTCTGTTAAGACTAGAAAGTTATGAATTAAATAGAAGGAAAATTAAAGGAAATCTGCTAGAGATATAATGGAGAACAAGAGATTGGTGCCTTACTAATAGGAATTAAAGGCAATTGAATAAACACAAATCCCGTGTAGAAACTCAAAGTAGAAAAAAACAGTTAAAATAAATATTACATTTGCTAATGAATAAATGATTATTTTAAGCTTGCAGATAGCTGGATAAGAAATACAGTAATTTTTAAAATCTACCTAATCATGACAGCAAATCACTAGTTGTAAAAATGGTGATATTAGGAACAGTGTTTCAGACTAAATAATTGCTACCTTCTGGCAGTAGAGAGTCCACAAGCTGCATTCTACACGATACAAACTCAGTCAGCATCCTCAGGCTCGTCTTAACAGAGAGGAAGATGCTTTAAAAGAAACATTCAGCTTTATCACACTTATCAAAAAGGAATAAAAACCTTATAACAAAAAGAATAAATACCAATAGGGACTTTTGTCTGGCCCACTAGACATAATTATTCCCTTGCTATTGTCCAGTTAACCTCCACCTGTGGCCTCAGCAGGACAGAGACAACAGCTGGTGTCTCTAGAAACCAGGGTTAGGAAATATCAGTTCAGTTGCTGCTTGGTGTGAATGTGCTCAGTAGGCACATCAATGTTCCAGTTTCTTACCTGTAAACTGTTATTCATACTCAGTGCCCAGTCAAAAATCAGGTAAGTCTCCTGACCCATGAAATTATGTTCCAGGTTTGTTTAGCCCCTGGTTACTCGTTTTTGAGTACAACCTGTTATTGAACTTTGTTCAAAAATTCGGAGCATTGCAGATGATGCTGGGAAAAAGAAACCCCTATTCAATGTTGGTTGAGGGGGAATTAACAGAGCCATTGTGGAAATCAGTTTGGAGATTTCTAAAAACATAGAACTACCCTGTGATTCTGCCATTTCACTCCTGGGCATCCACCCAAGGTACTCAATACCCTACCATAGAGCTATTTGCCATCCCATCTTTAGCACTGCTTTATCCACTATGGCAAAGAATTAGAATCTCTGAGAAGAAGGTATCTAAAGGAAATGGACAATTTTTTGGATAGATACTACTTAACAAAAATAAATCAAAAGCAGATAAGCTACTTAAATAGACCTATTTTAACCCCTAATGAGTTAGAGGCAGTCATCAAAAGTCTCCCAACCCCAAAATGCCCAGGGACAGATGGTTTCAGTGCAGAATTCTACCAGAAATTCAAAGAACAGCTAATACCAATTGTATTACAATAAATCTTTCCGCCAAAAGCTGCCTAAGCCCTACTGCCACATAGACAGTCTCTGCCAGCCCCCTGAATTCTGCCCACCGAGTTAGGGCCCCCAATTTATGCACAGAGACTTACATTAGGTACAAATGCTGCTTGGCCAATGACTAGGATTCTCATCTGTTAGCTCAGTCTTAATTACCATAAATCTATTTGTGTTATAAGACTTATCTTACTGGACACCTTCCATTGGCATCCTCCCTTACCGGTGGATTACATGGCGAATCTGGAGGAAGAGAGGGCCCACTTCCTTCTTCCCTTGTTTGTGTATGAGTCTCCCTGCCATGTCATTTCCTGCCTGGATCGTCACTTCTCTCCTACATTTCCCAGAATCCTCTTTGACTCCTAGTCCCACTTAACTTGATGCCTCATTGGCCAAACAGTACTTTATTCAACAATCAATAAGGTGAACATACACAGAAGTACATTCCCCATCAACCTATACTCGGCAAAATGTTCCACAGAATAGAAGCAGAAGGGTCATTGCTAATCTATTTACAATTTCCTTGGTACCCAAGCCATACAAAGACACAACTAAGAAAGAGAAATACAGACCAATATCCTTCATGAACATTTATGCAAAAATACTCAATAAAATACTGGAAAAGGAATCCAAGCACACCTCAGAAAAATCATCCACCATGAAGGAGGTTTCATCCCAGGGATGCAGGGATGGTTCAACATACAAAAATCCATCAGTGTAATTCACCATAAAAACAAACTGGAAAAGAAAAACCACATGATCATCTCACTAGACGCTGAAAATACCTTTGACAAAATGCAACACCCCTTCATGATAAAGTCCTGGAGTTATCAAGGATGATTAGCAACTTACCTAAACATAATAAAGACAATATACAGCAAACCAACAGCCAACATCAAACTAAATGGAGAGAAATTCAATGCAATTCCTCTAAAATCAGGAACAAGACAAGGCTGTCCACTTTCTTCATATCTCTTCAATATTGTACTTGAAGTTCTAGCTAGAGCAATAAGACAACAAAAGGAGAACAAGGGGATACAAACTGAAAAGGAGGAATTCAAACTTTCACTATTTGCAGATGATATGATAGTTTACATAAGTGACCCAAAAAATTCTACCAGGGAAATCCTATAGCTGATAAACACCTTCAGCAAAAGTGTCAGAATACAAGATTAACTAAAAAAAAAAAAATCAGTAGCCCTACTATATACAGACAATAAATGGCCTGAGCAAGAAATCAGAGAAACATCACCCTTTACAATAGCCACAAACAACATAAAATATCTTGAAGTAATGCTAACCAAACAAGTGAAAGACCTATATAACAAGAACTTTGAGACTTTAAAGAAAGATATTAAAGAAGGTACCAGAAAATGGAAAGAGCCTTGGATAAATAGGATCAATATAGTAAAGATGGCAATCTTGGCAAAAGGAATCTACAGATTCAATTCAATCCTCATCAGAATACCACCACAATTCTTCACAGACCTTGAAAGAACAATATTCAACTTTATATGGAAAAGCAATAAGCCCAGGATAGACAAAACAAACATGTACCATAAAGGAACCTCTGGAGCCATCACCATCCCTGACTTCAAGCTCTACTATAGAGCTATAATAATGAAAACAGCTTGGTATTGGCACAAAAACAGACAGGTAGAACAATGGAATTGAATTGAAGTCCCTGATATTAACCCACACACCTATGAACACCTGATCTTTGACAAAGAAGCTAAAACTATGCAATGGAAATAAGAAAGCATATTTAAGAAATGGTGTTGCTTCACCCTTCCTGCTAAAGGTTCATACCTTTCAAGGCTAGTTTCTTGGGTTTCCACTGAACCTTTCTCTGAGTGTGGATTGTTTCTGAGGTTGAGACTGCTATATTTGCTTTCTTTTTTTCTTAAAGCACAACAGATCTTATATCCTATGATTCTCTTGTAGTCATGGAATTGTAAAAGATGTTATTTTTCAAATGTGTACAATCAATATATTCACTCATAATCCCTATTAGTTCCTACTGTAACTTAGAAAAGAAAATGTGTAACATTCAGCCTTTTGGAAGCTCAGGTTACATCTTTAAATTATTTCAAATTGGATTCCAAGCCAGCACCTTAATGTTAAATTAATTATATTATTTTAACTATTTTCATTTATGTAATTTTTCCTGTGAGTTTATATTTTTATTTGTCTTTTATGAAAGATTTAAAATTTTAGTGCACTTATTTACACATCTGTGTGTTTCACTTGTGCACACATAGCTATGTGCTGCAAAATATACCTAGCATTCAAAGAGATCTTACAAGAGTCAATGTTCTCCTTACTGCATACAATGAGGGTGTGGGGAAAAGGTTTAATTTGTAAAGTGTATCCTGTGCAAATATGAGGACCTGAGTTTAGAATTCTAACATCTACGTAAAACCTGGGGATGGAAGAGAGAGGAGGACACTTAAGATTCAGTGGTCAGCCAGTCTATAAGAAGTTGTGGCTTCAGGTTCAGTGAGAGACACTGTCTGAAAACACAAACTGAAGAATACATTGAGAAAGATATTCTGATGCCTACCTCTGGCCTCTACACATGAAGATACTCAAACACATGTACACACCATATATACACAAAAAAATTAAGAAAGTAAAAGAAGCTCAGGAGGTGGTATAGTTGGTAAATTACTTGAAACATAGTGTAAGGACTTGAGAGCTCCCAGAACCCATATACAAATTTCTACATGTTCCTGAAATCCCAGAGCTGGGGATGACAAATCACTAAGATCTAAGTAAGACCCCTAACAGCAGCCTTTGGACGCAGGAGGGAGGGAGGGAAGGAGGAGGGTGAGAGGAGGAGGAGAGAGGGAGCAAGAAGGGGAGGAGAGAGAGAGAGAGAGAGAGAGAGAGAGAGAGAGAGAGAAATATCTTGCATGTACAAATAAAACCTATCTGAAGAGAATGGAGCTTGCCACTAGCCAATCATAGAGCTCTGGCGGTCTGTAAAGACAGACAGGAAGTGAGATAGCTGGGCAGAAACAAGATATAGGCAGGGAGAAACAGGAATTGTTCTCTTGTCTGCTGAGACACTAAGGAGGTAAGGTGTGGACTTACTCCTTAGTGACTTGTTCCTTCTTTCTGATCTCTCAGTATTTTACTCTATGTCTGACTCTGGGTTTTTATTACTTAGATCAATTAAGATATACACACACACACACACACACACACACACACACACACACACACACACACTTTTTAAAAATGAAGGGATAGAAAGAAATAATGGATTTTTGATTTCTATGTATAATACATGATCAAAACTAATTTACTTGAATTTGTGTTAAATTCCTGTGGCTTCTAACTAATTTAATTTAAAACAAGTGCCAAGTTTGGGAGACTGTGGTGATATCTTGTTTTTACTCCATTGAATAAAGCTTGCCTGAGCAAGCCACAGCCACTAGTTAACTATAGGGGTAGGGAGGTCTGTACAGACAGAAAGGAAGTGATGGAGCTAAACTGAACTGAGAGAGGGATATAAGGCAGGAGGAGATAGAAACTTGCTCTCATCTCAGCTGGGAAGTTATGAAGGTAAGGTGTGGCTGTGACTTGCTACTTTGTCTCTCTGATCTTTCAGCATTTACCCCTATATCTGACTCAGGGTTTTTATTGTTAAGACCAATTAGAAATCATGCAACAGGAGGCTATGCTGGAGTAGACCGATCAAGTAGACTTAGCAAGAAACTGACTAATTACAATAAGTGAAAATATGGAATTATTTACATGTATTATAAATTCTCCACTTTATGAAGAACAATTTCTATAACTATAAAGCTAATGTCTGCAATCACTGATAGATAATGAAACTCTCTTCTACCCAGTTTTTTCCTAAGTCTGGTTTTCTGGCATTAATATTCAGAGTGAGTCCATCACCAGAGTCTAATTATAGTAGGAGGATCAGATTGTCAATGAGTTGCAACTGGATAAAAAATTTCTATAGGTAATTGTATTGAAAACTGAATCAGCAATAACAGTGACATTTTAAATCTTTTCAAACTGCTTATGTGACTTAAAAATTACAGAGCTAATGCAAAATTTTAGGCAGAAGCCACATCTTCAGATAACACAGTTTAGTCATTTGGGAGGTTTCTCTGTAGGTATAGTGGACTACAGGACAAACATGCATGTAAAGTTCATGGACTCATGGAGTCTGAGTTTAAAGTAGATTCCTTTTTCTCATCAGGTAAGCCAAAGCAGAAGGGTACATTTCTGGTTACTCTGTCTTTACAAGGCTTTAATTTTTTTCATCTTTTGATTTGTATGGGCAAATTAATACATGTCTTGTGTTGATCTCTTTCCTATCATAAAAATTACTTTGAATGATTTGCATTTTTCCTGCAATCCTGAGAAAGCCATCACAGTTGAGGAGATAATGATGGTGTTGATGATGATGATGGGGGGGGTGATGAGGATGATAGGCACTGCTGCACTGAATACTTTTCATGTATCAGATAGTGTACTCAATGACATACATATATTAACCTTTTTTGTATAGCCATGAAGAAGGCACCATGATTAGATCCATTTTACAAACCAAGTACACAGAGGCAAAGAAGAATGACAATTCTTAATCACCCAATAGAAAGGTCAGCTGGTGAATTACCAAAATATTTCCATGAAGCTATGGCTAAATAGTAGCTCCCTCTGGTTGTTTGCTTGCCTTGGACCTCTACTGAATCCTAATATAAACTCCTACTACTTCTACTGATAGTCTTTTTGATTCTTGGCTGATTTCTGGATGAACTAGGACTCCATGTAGGTTCCCAAAGAGTAGTTATAACAGTTCTATAGATTTTATTTTAAATATCTTTTATTCAGTTGTCATATTAAAATGAATTTAAGCAATATTTTACCTGTTGAAGAAGACTGTGTTTCTATTTTGTTAATGGATCCTGAATTGTAATAAACAAGACATACAAACTTAAAGCATTACTTCTAACATGGGAAATTCTAAGTACTATCTGTGCATTAGGCATTGTTAGGAATTTGGACTAAGTCATATCCACACCTCACACAGAGGTTCTTATCATATAAAATGAAGAATTTGAGAAGGCTAGGCAATTCAGCCCTAGCCTTCATCATCAAATGTTATATACT